GAACTAATATAACATACAAGTTTCACTTTTTGAAACAAATTATTGAAATAAATGGACTTTTCCTTGATATTCTAATTTTTTGGCACATACCTGTATAGACAGGTGTGTGGCTTTCCTAATCACGTCCCATCAGTATAATCAAACACAGCTGGACTCAAATGAAGGTGTAGAACCATCTCAGGGATGATCAGAAGAAATGGACAGCACCTAAGTTAAATATATGAGTGTCACAGCAAAGGGTCTGAATACTTATGACCATGTGATATTTCAGTTTTTCTTTTTTAATAAATCTGCAAAAATGTCAGAAATTCAGTGTTTTTCTGTCAATATGGGGTGCTGTGTGTACATTGATGAGGGAAAAAAATGAACTTAAAGGATTTTAGCATATGGCTGCAATATAACAAAGAGTGAAAAATTTAAGGGGGTCTGAATACTTTCCGTACCTACTGTTTCAATGTTATGTTCTCACAGTATACATTATGACTTTCTTCCATGTGATATCATGCAGTAGCAGTACAGTTGAATATGGTCTAAAGTCATGTTGGACTTATTAATTCAAATTAATTTTAAAATAAGTATTGGTTTAGGTGTCATAGGTATCTTTAGCTTTTGAAGTATTTCAATGTTTATTTATTTTTCAATATTAGAGGGTGTAATTGATTATAATTACATGCATGAACAGATTATGATTTACAAGGAAGAGAAACTGTTTAGACATATTTTATCTTCCAGAAAAAAAAAAGTTAAATAATTTCCAGTTTCAATGATTTTATTAATAAGACATTTGCCAAGACTTTAACCCAAGACAGTAATTTTCATCATAGTAAAGGGGAGGAAATATCTAGCAGAGTTGTTGGAAACTATTTTTAGAAAGGTTGTGTCAGGACCTCTTTTCCCTTTGGGCTGCCAGTTTAGTGCCCTAACTGTTTTCATCCATCAAGCAGACCAAACAGTATCATGTTGCAGTCATCAAGTCATCGTTTTACTTTGTCCTCAGAAGGTTAAATGGTTATAAATGGGTCCACAGAGGCCTTTTTAGAACATTTTGCAAGGTGCAAAGGAAGTGTCTGGAAAAAGTAATTAATACAACAGTACAGGCACACTGAAAAAAGGCTTCAACTTTGTACCTAGCATGTGGCTGACTAAAACCACAGTGATATACAGTTTGACAAAAGGCTTCATCATTAGCTTGACAGTTATGCCAAAGACGGCCAAATAATTAGAGCAGTCTTTTTCGCCCTCATCTATTGTAGAAGCAACAAACACCGAGTGAACTAATCTAGAAGAAGAAAAAAATTTTTTTTTCTTATTATGTCGATGGTCATTTTTACGTTTTGGTTGTCTCGTACCTGTTGAGACTCGGATGCAAACAATTTAATTTAAAACAGCGCCAGGCCAGCCCACCATCTGTCCTGCAGAGGAACACGTGGTGGAGTTGAGTCTGTGCAGTAGCGGGAAATGGCAGTCGGAAGCCTGTTTGATATATAGCCATCATTCCCTTTGATTTGATTATGCTGTGTTCAGAGGGAGTGTACAGCAGTAAGAGAACCAAGATTGGATGGCATTTATTCGACCCATTCAAATGATACTGCCTCAGGGGTGAGTGACAACTTTAGTTCATTTCCCAAAGAATGTTGCTGCTGTTTTGCACCATTTTATCTGCCCTGGAAATTTGTCAATTACCACATTTCTAGAGCTCTACATGGTTGCATATCTATGGGAATAAGAATCATACCAGAAAGGACAAATGACATAAACATTTAAAAGACTGCAGACTAACGGTGCATATTTAACCTGTAGCACCAACTGATGCATTTTAAAATCATAATTTCTTTCATGTTCACCCAGAACATAAAGGTGCCTAGAAATCATATACCAAGATGCTTTTATAACTAAGAGGTACAGTCAGTCTGTGGTAAATTGAATATTTTCAGTGTGCATGTAATACAGGTTATGTCTTTACATTGTTAGCAAGAACATACTTGTTATGTTGAGGGTCAGATTGACCCATTGTGAAGATAAAACATCTAAAAACAATAGTTAACTGTATTTTATTGGTATGAAACTTCTTCTGCTTGGCTTAATAGGTGTAATCAACATATAAAATGGAAATTGTTCATTTCACATATTTGCAACCTCCCCCAGCATGTTTATATTACAAAGATACTGTCTGAACAGAAGAGGTGTCTCATGTTAACTTATCAACATCACTTCATAAAAAGAAAAGATTTAAAAATGTAAAGTAAAATTTTAAATAAATCAATGTCATGTAAAAATTATGTATTTTATATGTAGGTCTTTCCAATGTACATTAAGAAAAGTGTTAACGTGCATTTTTTTTAATGAAAAATGAGTGCATTATCCTCATTGAACCATAATCTGTGAGAGGTAAAGCACACCATTGCACTAAATAGTGATTGAAATGGTTAGTAATGATAAAATTAACCCAGGAAAATCACTGTTGTTCCTGAGAAATGAACATAACAGGTGGGTTAAGGCTTGGTGGGAAGTGTAGAGCCAGAACTGAGGACAAATCAACTACTAAATAACCTTAGTACATAGTTTGACTGTATTAAGCATGTTTCTTGAGTCTCTGGAACACTGATGCTGTCCTTTTGTGTTTGGTACTGTATACAGTCATGTGAAAAAATTAGGACACCCTTTGAAAGCATGTGTATTTTGTAACTTTTTTTAATATATGGTTATTTAATCTCAATTTTAACAATACAGAGAGATTAAAGTAATACAACTAAACAATTAAAACTTTGATCTTTTCAAGATCTTCTGTAAATGTAATTCTACAAAAATGCCTATTCTAATTGAGGAAAAAGATAGCACACCCTCACATGTATGCCCTCTTAAAATGGCTCAAATCACACACACAGGTATATCACACTAGGTGCACATAATTAGTAGATCGTTACTCAGCATTTTGAATGAGGCTTGCCCTATCTAAACCTCAGACATTTAGTTTGGTGTGCTCCTGACTGTTGAAGTGAGAGTGAGCACCATGGTGAGAGCAAAAGAGCTGTCAGAGGCCTTCAGAAAAAACATTGTAGCAGCCAGTGAGTCTTGTAAGGGATTTAAAAAGATCTCAAGATTGTGAAATCACAGTTCCACTGTCCAGAAGATAGTCTACA